CCATTTTCATAGATCAAAGTTCAGATAACTCACACGTGAGGATTTTTCTAACTTAAACGTTTTGGAATCTTCATGGTACGAACTTGCTACAAACAAACATTAAAAACCGTAAATGGTAATGAGAGTGACGTCAAAATTATCATGTTGGGTGAAACCAAATGGAACTTAAGGTAGCTTAAGTTTCAAGTTTCGAAAGAAATCTAAACAAGAGAAAAACAAAACTTTGATTTATCCAATAGTTTTCTCAGCCTTTCAAGAACTTTAGACCTACTGATGTTTACGGTTAAAAACATTTTATCCGGCACGTACCCAATTATGCCATATTTAATCCAAAAGAACAAATCATCATGAGTATAAAAGGTGAATAAATGGAAAACAAATCTTAAAGCGTATGGAGGTACTCACCTGAAAATCACTCATCACCTTGAAGGCTCTTTTTCCACCGCTGTGTGCTCCGTTTCCAATTGCATCAGACTCGGGTGAAAATAACACCAGGAGTGAGAGTAAGCCGATCAGACAAGTAAACAGTTTGACTGCCATTCTAGCGCTGGGTACTTTCTTGTCAACGAGAGCTTGTCTTGGGTGCTAATGTAAAATGTTCTGGGCCACTTGTTTGTGGTCTTTTATAGGCTGAAATTACCATTAATTATTAACATGAAATAAAAGTACACTTTTAACATTCTGTTGGATACCAAATGGCCATCTCTGAGAAAAGAAGAACAAAAAAATGGCGGATCAGAAATAAAGAAATATAGTTGTTCATGGATATAGAAATTGATCTTAAACTTTTATTTGAAAAATATAATAAAAATTGGCACCCTATGGTTATATGGCTATTATACATAAATCGTAACAAAAATAATAATTAATATCACAGAGGCATTAATGAATTTTTGAAATTACTCAGTGCGGAATTTTTTTGATCTAAATTTTAAAACTTTATTAGATTTTGTAACTTTACAACAACTTTAATCGTTCATAACAAACGATATTGATCATTTATAAGGTAACTATGACACGCTCATTTTTGCATCCTTTGATAAAAAGGAACTTATTTGTAAAGCTTACCTTTGTAATGATAGGTAATGGATGAAAAAAATCTGTGAAAATTGTTTATCCATGATTAACAACGTGCTGTTCTCTTGCATCATTCCGCTCTGACCAATGTTTTGATCTCTAAAATACTGTTTACAGCTGGAACTGCATATTTTACCAATCACTACTTGTTTGATTTACATTCCAGAGTGACTTGTCACTGTCAGTGGAAGTTTTTAATTTTTTTTTTGATCTTGATTAAAAAAAAATAAGATTTTGTAACTTTAACACAATTTTAATCGTTCATAACAAACTATATTGATTATTTATAAGGTAACTATACCAGGCTCATTTCTGCGTCCTATCTTATTGATTTTTAATAGTTTGATTTACATTCCAGAGTAGCTTGTCACTGTAACTCGAAGTTTTTAAGTTGAAAGGGTTCTTAAACACTTCTTTTAGCATTTTTCTGCTGATATTAACTATTTGCTTTTTAACTACCCACCTAGATAAAGGAGACGTTAATGAAATTGGTTTCCTTCGATGACGTGTATGCAGTATATAGATATTAAAGTTAAAAGTAAAAAGAAATTGTATTTGGTTGAACATGGTTGCTGACATGCCTTCCAAAATTTTAAGATTACGGGTGGCAATTCTGCACTGGAACACAAGGTGGGGCAGGGGCGGGCCGCAGAGAGGAATGGGTCGATAGGTTAATTTTTATCAGATGAACTGAGTATAGCGGGAAAGACCAGAGCAATATTGTCAGTCATTAAAGATCCCCACGGGCTCTTCTTTTCATACGTTTGTAAAAACGCATGAGAAGAAACCTTGTATCAATTGATTTGTGTCAGTTAGTTAGAAGTATATATTCACTGACTAACGCATCCTAGTCTTCACAATAATTAGTAATGGCATTAAACGCCTGTTGTGTTACATTCGCGTATCAGACCGCAATAAATTAATGATTAAAGCTACGAAGCTGCTCAAAAGCATTGGAAGTCAAAAAGTTCAGTTCCAAAACCGAAACAAAAACAAAAATTTTATATAAAAAGAAAATCCTGTTGTTGAAATAATATAAAAAGTTAAAAAGCATTACTTGAATTAAACTCCAATCGACAGGTGCTCGATGTAGCTTATATTTTATAAATGCACTCAGGGTTATTCGATTCATGAAATGTCCATTAAACGATTGTTTTAATAATGATGATCATAGTCAAAAACAAAACGGGATTTTCAGCATTTTTCTTTAATTTGTAATTCTCACGTCAACCTGTATTTTTCATCAAGATAAATTTTTCATTACTTCACATTTTTTGCGCCATAACGCACTAGAAACTCTAGTAGATGAATAAGTCTCTGATTCGGCTGCTTCTGAAATCCTGTTTCAACAACCCATTCTTCTTGCCACGTCACACACACGGCGTTTAACGAGGACATTTCTAGCGTCGTCCTACGGAAAGAATGGAAGAGTAAATAATTGTACCAAAGTTGAAATGACACCAACACGCAAGCACAATTTCTTTTGTTATTCATCTACTAGAAGTAAAGTGTATTGTCGGGTTGCTTGATCTTTGGACCAATTTATCGTCTTAGGAATTTTAAACGAATAGTGAATCAGGCAATTTATGCGTGTTCGATTACGTTTGTCATCAAGTTCTTTTGACACTCTTAGACACATTTTACTTAAATCTGATGGACTTTAAATTGATGGACTTGTCGCAAAAATGAGTAGTAAGGTATTGTGAAAAGTCAAAACCAAAAACAAATAGTTCTTACTTACCTTCTCGTCATTATGGTTTAAAAAGCCTCCCCCACGATTCTCAGAAGGAGAACCTTTAGTTCCCCCATTGGCAAAGGCGTCAGATTCGGGTGAAGATATCACCACAAGGAAAAGAACGCAAACCAGACAAAAAAAGAATTTGACTGCCATTCTATCACTAAGCACTTTCTGTTCAGAGAATTGTCTTGGCTTTGACAAAGTTAAGAGTCTTTTATCAGTTGTCTTTAATATGCTATAATTTTTGGCGATCAATTATTTAAAGAAAATGATCAAAACCATTAATTTCTGGCTGGTTAAAGTGATTAAATTTAATACCAAAAGGACGGAGATGCAATGGAGGAATAAATTGCCACGCGGGAAAAAAGTTCGCAATATAGTCCTACTTTTATTAATTGAAAAGCGAACAAAGACATACTATATGTAGATATCCATTTAATGTGAATATTACAAAGCAAATTAATTAGTCATAATAAAAGAAAAAAACTACTGTGTAATGAAACTTTATGAAGTTATCACAAGTTTTATGAAGACAACACGAATATGACATGTTGGTTTATTTTACCGCTTGTTTTGGAGACAATGAGACTGAAACACGAAAGCTATCAGCTTGCTAAATTCTGATGGACAAGTAATCAGTTGTCTTCATAGCTGCCTTACAGGAGATCAATCGGAAAGGAACGATTTCCGGTCTTTTATAATTAATATTCTTAGTTTTTTCTTTTAAAAGTTAATTTTTTGGGTTTGGTTTTAATTAACTCACATCTCACACTTACCAAATCATCCACGCGTCGACACGCGGATGCTTCGTGAAAGTTTCATGACAATCAAACATGCTCTGGCATTGTTAACTCACTAAAAAAACACACCTGTTGTTGAATATACTTCAACCTACAGTCTTATTGGACTCGCTTACTTAATTACATATATTGGAATTGTTATATAAACCCACAAAGGGATTGCCTTTTAAATTGTCGATGTTCGAGGTGTCAATCAATTGACCGCTCGGTTTTTTTACAGCCTGATTGCTACTACATTTGTAATTTAGACCTAAAAGCTCAAATGGAAAGACTCTTTTAATTGATAGACGACTGGAAAACCTTGAAGCCTTGGATTCACGTTTATTGATCACAGAAGGAAGACTGTCCTGCTTTTTACAATAATTGGTATTAAGCCTTTGAAGGAATTTCGCCCACTTGTAGGTCTGTAAATTAGCCCACGCTTTTTGTAATTCAGCGTATGGGTCGAAAAAAACAATAGACCCAAAAAATATTCCACCAATCCGTCGAGTGACGTACAGCTGTTCTTGTTACCGCTCAGTTACACAGCCTGGTTAAGTTCAATTTCTATATTGTTATGTAAAGCCGAGCTTCAAGTCAAACTAATAAAGATGTAACTATGCTTACGTGTACAAATTAGCAATAAATACAAATATTGAAAAAGCTTTAATAAGAGGCTCATGTGAAAACCATCTAGTCAGCTGCGAGGAGGAAAAAATTAAAGAGACTCTCAAGCACAAAATAATTGTTTTCAAACTGACGTGTAAAGGGAAAAAAGTTATGAAACGGGCACGATGTTTGAAAAAGACTTACANTAAACTTGGTTTTGGGTTTCTTTTCGCCATTCCTCATATCTTTTCAGTAATAAAATACCGGCAGGAAACTTTCCTAAGGGTAGCTCAGCCATGTTTTAAACCACCTGGCGCTGATCGTAGTCTTTTATTTACCTTCTTTGTTATTCCACTTTTTCCCTAAAGAAAATAAATAGATAAGTTGATTTCATAAAACTACGAGTAAAACTATCTCCTTGTGTTATGAATTAAAATTTTTGATAAAGATTTCCATTTCTACAGTAGTTTTATCTTCATTGACTCCTTGTAGGCCAATGCAAAAATGAGTGGGAGTTTGTGAATTTCATTTTTATCTTCTGTAAAGAAGTAAAAGCTGAGCTCTCAAATACTGAATAAAACCAGTCCAAGAGGCCTTGTATCCTCTCCGAACTTTTTTTCACTTATGAACTTCGAGTTGGAAGTGAAATAAATTGAACGAAGCAGGGGTGCGCAGACAGAGTTATGAGTTACACAGATATATATACATATATCTATTACGTTTTACTGTGTTTCAACCATTATGAGTTTTACACTTTTTATCAGGAAAAATAACGAATAACTTTAAATTTCACCCTTGAATAAATATCACTATATAGATTTATTCATAATTAAATCCAGGTACATATTCATTTTAATTCTTCCCCAAGTTTGACCGGTTTTGCTCATCGAAGGTTGTTTACTATAATTGTTCAAACGCGGTCACAGTGTGTCATTTGACTCATTGGCGTTCCCTTTAAGCTGCGTGCTATTTTATTGTATTGTTATTCTTGGTCGTACCATCGGACACACCGTATAAAACTCGCCATGTCATTTCATTCACTGCCTATTTTCTAGTGTGTGATTCAACGGTGCTCGTGCGTCCATCTTATAATACGTTTCTCGTGGAGGGTCACAGAGCGTTTCTAGTCACAACGCGCCATCTTAGGAAACCATCACGTACATTGGAAACCAGTATAAACATAAAAATTAAGATATTTGCCGTAGTAGTCAATCTTATAAGTTTTCTAGTTACCAATTGCGTCATTCCTCGAGGCCCGGAATTTGATACTTTGGGGAGGTTCTGTTATGTACTACGGTTGGCGCCCACAATTCATACATATCTTTGATTACATAGCTTGAAATTGTGGACGGTAAGCGGCAGTCAACGCGGGCTCAAAAAGCAAAATAAATCAAAATGTCGGTCAGAGCGAATAAAAGAGTAAATAAGGGCTATTACAAGGATTTAAATGATGTGAGCACTGCTGTTGAAAATAAAGTGAATTTGAAAAACCTCCTAGGGTAAGTTGGAATACCAAAAGAAAATATCTCACCCTCACTGTGATCAACCTCTTGAACCTTTTCTTGGCCTCTGACAAGATAGTACCATTCTTTAATGGTGCTATAGGCCAAGGCAATTGCCAAGGCTATTTTTCTTGCTTCTCTGTCTTGCTTCTCAGTGAGGTGTCCACAACGTTGATTTTCCAAGGTTCAAATTATAGCAAAAAATCCCTCCCATGTTCCCGCTTTTTTTCGAAATTTATATTCAGCGGCTTCTCTATTTTAATACTTCGTGTATGGGGAATTACGAAGAATAACGAAGATGGCTACCAAATAGCTGCCGAGAAGAAGGAAAACAAACCGTCTATGGAGCGTTTTCCCCTCAATGATGGCGCCGATTCCACATTGGTCTCACTTTCAAAGAAGCCTGCTTTTCGTCTTGAAAAGGCAGTGCCCTAGAGTGTGTTTTTTCGGGAGAAAAACGTTTGGTTTGCAAAGGTTACATCTCATCTCTTGAATGGGAAGCTAGGAAAACTTGTCGGAACAAGAACGTTTTCTCCTCACGTTCAGAAAGGCATGAAGTTAAGTGCTGTTTGAAGAGGTTAGTAAGGGCTTCATTGTGTTTGTCTGGAGTTCTTTTGATCGCAAAAGGCAGTGGCTTGACTGAAATAATTTTCATTTCTTGTACCATAAAAATGTAGTTCGATTATTGCTTTATTAATTTTTAAGCTGGAGAAAGTACCTATTTGAGCGGAAATTACAAAAGTTAGGAACGTAAAAAGTCTCCCCCATATTTCCTTTATGTTCTGCCGCCATATTTAATCTCTTTTAGTGTTATATACACATGCTTACGGCCAAGTTGGCAGCCATGCTGTCCGAAATTTCTGGCTATAAGATAACTCGAAAGCCTTGTCCCTAGGGAAACAATTGATTCAAAGGATATAATTTACCAAAGATCCACGAGAAACGAAAGTTACGTAACGACAAATAAACGTACTTCCTGATTGCAGAAATATGGATATTTTTGAGTTTCAACACTCAATAACGTCGTACGCGTTTTACAGTAATTACACTCACTAGAGGTTAGACATACACTGGTATATTTAAGTTATCTTTATTTGAACCACAAACACATGGGACTGGATGATTAATTTTTCAATTTTTAATTTACACATCCCAGCCTGTTTATTGTCTTCAATGACGAGGCTTTGTTTTGTCATTCTGCTTCACAAATTCAGGTTCAGCAACCCACGCGTTTCGCAGCATCACACAAACGGCGTTTCATAAGGGAACTTTCTAAATCGTCCTGTAAGATGAGAGTAAGAAAATAAAAATAAAAGTGCAAAATATATCATGTGACATCAACACGTTTTAAAAAAATATACAGTCAATAAGAAAACAGATGTGAACAAATTTCATCCGAGCTTTTAAAACACGCTATACAAAACTTAACTTTTCCCTTTACTTTTTAAAATCAACTTAAAAACGGATGTTGCCAAAAATTGCACGATTTACTTGCTGAAGAAGACATTATCAGGTATATTGCCAAATTGTATTCAGTTATATACTATGGAAACCTTTTTTAGTGAATAAAATAAAACCAGGGGAAGCTTATACTTAAGGCTGCAGTATACGCACATGAAAGTTGATCTTCTGTGAGCGTTCGACTTTGCGACCACAGCGTCCTGAGGGAAGGCCCATACATGCTCCATTCAAAGTGGCTTCAGATTCAGGAGAAAATAACATGGCAAGGAAAAGGATACAAATGAGACTGGAAACCAATTTGATTGCCATTTTGTTCGCGGATACTTTCTGATCAGAAAGAATTTGTTTCTGTCGTGGAATGCTTGTTTCTTATCTTAAATAGGCTAGAATGACTAAATTATTTAAGGAAAGTGACAGAAGTTTGTCATCAAGCGAACTGTTGAGCAGAAAAGAAAAGCAGAGAGAATGATTGGGAAGAGATGAAGCAATCAAACTTTTCATGTAAGTAAAAAAATGTCTTTAACCTTTTCATAAGAATTGATCAAGAGTGGCATACCATGTGTGCTTGTTTATTAAATAAGAAGATATGAAAGAGCAATCATTGTTATACAAATTGGAACGAAACAAATGAAAAAATTAATTGTTTGAAATAAAAATGAGTCAAAAAATATTTTTTTCTAGGTGGCAATATAGTCGAGTTAATATCCTTGGCTTACTTGCATTTTTTTTTTTCGGTAATGGCTTTTTCTCGGACATCTAGGAGTTTTTTTTTTTGTCGTTTTTTTTTAACATAGGAATCTTTCCAAAATTGTAGGATTATTATTACCAGCTGTAACTTTAGGTATTAAATTTCGACTG